CCCAGGCTGGCCTCGAACTCACAGAGATCCGCCTGGCTCTGCCTCCCGAGTGCTGGGATTAAAGGCGTGCGCCACCACCGCCCGGCGTGAATAAATAAATCTTAAAAAAAAAAAAAAGAAAGAAAACTTATGGGAGACCTAGGATAGAACTGAAAGGATGATAAACGGTGCTGGTGACGGCGCTGGTTACTGCATGGAAAGTTCACGGTCAGGACAGAACCCAGTGTTAGTTTTCAGAGCTTTATTAGGAGGGAAAGGGGAGGGAGGGGAGAGAGAAGAGCCAGGCCTGGAGAGAGAGAAAGATGGCGGGGAGAGGGGAGCAGAGCAGAGAGGGCAGAGAGAGCGTGGGGTCTGCATCCGGCTTTTAAGGCACAGATTGTAGTCACCAGCGCCCACTGATGGCGTAAGACGCAAGCCCCCCCCCCCCAACTGCACATGTGCAGTCATGTAGCTGGAGTGAGGGCAGAATTCCAACAAGAACCAAACACAAGTGGTAAGAAATAAAAATTTTTAAAAAATCAATGACATGATTCCTAATGATGTTCTGCTCTGCTCATAGTTCATTGTCGAGCCCAGCTGTCATCAGAGAGGCACAGCCCAGCAACTGGTGGAAGCAGATGCAGAGACCCTCAGCCAAACATCAGGCTGGGCCTGGGGAGTCCTGCTGAAGAGGGTTGTCAGGGGACTGTAGGAGTCAGAGGGGTCACAAGAAAACCCACAGAATCAACTAACCCGGGCTCAGAGAGACTGAACCAACAACCAGGGAGCCTGCATGGGACTGACCCGGGCCCTCTGCATCTATGTTACAATTATGTAGCTTGGTCTTCTTGTGGGACTCCTAACAGTGGGAGCAGGGGCTGTCTCTGGCTCTTTCCCTGGCTTTTGGGACCCTTATCTTCATACTGGGTTGCCTCGTCCAGCCTTCAACTTGATACACCATGTCTGGTAGATATCCATGGGAGGCCTGCCCTGAACAGAAACAAAGGAGGAGTGGATGGGGGATGGCAGAGGGCTGGGAGGAAGAGGAAGGTGGGGAAATAGCAGTTGGATTGGAAAATAAAAACTTATTAAAAAAGAAAAGTATCCACCAGTACTCAGGAGACAGAAGCAGGAGGATCCCTGAGTGCAAGGGCAGACTGGTCTACAGAGCAAGTTCCAGAAAAACCAGGACTACACAGGAAGGCCCTATCTCAAATACCAAAGGATCCGTATTGTTTCATGGTATGTCATCTTTCTCATCACTGTGACAAACACTTTAGGATGGAAGGTTTGTGTCAATCATGTGGGGATGCCCAGCAGTGGAAGTCCTCACGTCTCTGAGCTGGGAAGCAGGGAGCAGAACTGAGTACCCCCTTCCTTCCAAGGCCCCCAGTTCCCTGCTCCTGCCACCCCACCCCTCCATCCCTTAAGAGTTCCACAGCTTTCCAAAACAGTGCCACCAGCTGGAGACATGAGCCTGTGGTAACATTTCAGATTATACATTCTGCTCCTGATTCCCTGTATCCTCATGGACATCTCATAATGTAAATAAAATTCAGTACAATATCAAAAGTCCCCAGTTTTGGGCCGGGCGGTGGTGGCGCACGCCTTTAATCCCAGCACTCGGGAGGCAGAGCCAGGCGGATCTCTGTGAGTTCGAGGCCAGCCTGGGCTA